CTAAAATAAAATAAGCTCTTAAATCTTATACACAAGAAAGAAAAAGATCTGTTGAGAATAAGAAAAAAAGAATATTGCCAGTGAACAGCCGAAACAGGTTAGACGGTGTGGGGTGTGAGTATGCGTGTGGGTGTGTTCTATTGTAGATATTCAGAGACCCAGATTCATCCAAATCCAGATTCACACCGACACCCATTGTGAGGGTGGGTGTGGGCGTGAATGTTAATTACCACCATTGATATCTGCTGACATTGGATTTACCTACTTGGGTTGGGTATATGCCCATCCTTTAGAGGGACTGCAATAATAAGAAAGACAGATAATAAGAATACAGTATCATGGGGTGTATGAAATAACGATAGAAAGGTAAGAAAAAACCATAAGAACAGGACAAATATCGTTACAGATATGATCAATAAAAATATACTAATCTATCAAACAACAGGCAGCATATAAACAGTTAAACTGACTTCTCACTATCAAGATTAAAGAATATGACTATCAATATTTTGTACGTGCTTTTCAAGGGGAAAAAAGGGGGGGGGCGTCTCTTCCCTTTTCATTTTTTTCTCTATGCTCAGTATTTTTACTGTTCTATGTTACTTTTTATCCTCTGATTATCTCGCAAATCGCTAAATTTTACATCTTTCAATTAGTTTTTCTCGATCTGTTGTTTTTTCTTTTCGTGCCCAATTCTACTATTGAGACGTTCGTGAACGCGTGTCGATCCGTATAAAGAAAGTCTTACATCACTCATTTATCTCTTCTAAGTGATGCATTAAAAATTTATTCTTATCCATCACTTATGAGTAAATAAAGGACATACTTATTGTATTGGTAGGTACAATGTCTTTATAATAATATCATCCATGTGCGATATAACAATCTTCACTAAAATAATATCACTCTCGTTTTGTATTGTAACCTCGATCGTTATATGTGCATCTTCGTATCCTCGTCTGTTCTGTTCTGTTCTGTTCTCTTCTCATGCGTAACGAGTGACCTCTTGTCACTGGTATATAAGCATATGTAGAAAAAGAATAGAACAAATGAATAATGAAGTGGACATCATATACCGAGAATAGTGTGAATGGTGCTCCATCAGTTTGTCATTGTGTTCACAACAAAAGAAATCAATACTACAGTCGTAACGAATATCTACTTGTCTCTTTCTTAAATTCTCTATAGCCAACATCATGTCTTATTCTGTTTATTAACTTGGTTACTAAATTCATCCCACAATTTCAGTAAATATTATTATTTGATTTTTTAATAAGAAATGGAGAACGGATTGCGGCTCAAACAGTCTGAACACATCTTATCTTATGTGAATGATTCTCGGTTAAATAATTCATTGATGATAGTCAAATAGCAATTTTCAATCATCCAAAACAAAATATGATTTTACAACAAACTTCTTTCTACCAATTAGAGGACGTCCTATCTAAATAATTCAATTTGATTTATCTATCTATTTTACGTTTTATAGAATTTTGTATTTAAAATATAATATTATTTTTTGACATTTGTGTATTTTAGATTTATACGTTTTCAGATTTCTCATTCATTTCTTGTATTTACTTATTAATTAATACGGGTAGGTGTGAGTAGGTGAGGGTGCGTATATAAATAACCAAATATTTAGCTACACCCACCCACAATCGGCTATATGATCTTTGGTCGGAAACGTTTCTTCGAGTATCCTACTCGCAAAATTTGATATATTTAAAAACCAAAAACAAACTGATTATTTCAGTTCAAAAGTAACGAAAATGTAAGATATTTCCTGAGAGCACTTTTCAGTGAGTGTGACTGTTAGAATTATGCGTATAAGAAAAAAATTCACTCTCTCATCCACATTCTATTTTTCGAATTTTTTAGCAATGTAGTTTGCTCCTATGCAGATAATACAATTATGCTGTTTCGCCGCTTATGGTATCTTTTACTACTACTTGTCTTCTATGTATTCATTAACATACACTTCAGCACTCGAAATTTGAATCCTGATCAAAATTCCATCAGTGAATCTAGGTTTTATACGAACTCTTCTTACGAACCTAAACAATATAATGAACAATTCGATAATGATGACGTTGTTTTCTTAATTATAACTGGAAAACCAAATCAAGACGACCGTATTCCACTGCAACAGCAAACTTGGATGAGATACACTACTCAAACGTATATATTCAGTGAGACAGCAAGCGGTCGATTACCACTGATAGTACTCCCAAATATAACCGATTCGTATGCTAGTAATGGACCCAAATTTTGGGACGCTTTACAATGGGCTTGGGAAAGATTTCAAAACAGAGCAAAATGGTTTGCGAAAGTAGATGATGATACATTTGTGAATGTCCATGAAATATATAAATTATTGAAACAAAAAGATGCTAGAAAGTTTACCGTATACGGAAGATGTGGAGAACATTTTCTTCCAGAAACACATGTATCTCAGGAAACTTTACCGAAAAATTGGACTTTTGTTGACGGAGGTGCAGGAACATTTATCAGTAGCTATGCAATGTCATTGTTAAACTTACACGGATTTTTGAATAAGTCAAAAGTTCTGCAGCGTCATGGGTCAACTCTTTTTGGGTTTCAAGATGCTTCATTTGGTGAAATTATAGCCGAAATTGCGCGCAGGGAGACTCTTCGTTACAATCGAACCTTCACTTCACCGTTCATCTGTGAGGATCGTCGTCTTCAACATCAATGTGATCCAAAGCATCCTGAAGCAAAGTTTTGTTTAAGACAGAGATGTACAACATTGCATAGATGTAGAAAAGACTTGATGCTTTTTTGGCACCGTCACTTCTCTATGAGACGTTTAGGAACATAAAACTATTAACGCTCATCATACTTATATGTAAAGTGTGAATAGATGAGTGTAGCAATCTAAGTATTTCAATCAACCTCAAACATATACTACACTCTTAAGGCTCTGTGTGTCACTTTTAAGAGTCTGAGCATGAGGCTATTATAATTTTCTCTTAGATGAGCATTCGCACAATGGTTTATGTACAAGGTAGAAAAAGCGATACTTCTGTATTCCCATTATACTTCAATTTGTTTTTGATTTGAATGAAATCTCGTTTTGCCCCCTTCTTTATATAACAGGGAAGGTAGAAGCGAGTGCAGATGTAGATACCAACATGTTCAAAAAAACTTGTACAAAATTCAATTTTTTTTACAATGATTTTCGTGTATTAAAAAGTAGGGATGGCACTTTACTTTTTCTTTATTATTAAATTGTTAATAAAATATCTATCATCTTGATGGAAGGCGTATGAGGGTGCAGATGTGTTTGAGTTTCAGTATTATATTCATCACACCCACATCCACACCCTTGTTTTTATACTTCTACATTGCTCAATAATGATCAAGTTACATTTACTTTTCTAATTCTATAGTGACAATCGCACAGCTTATGCCACGATATTTTTATTTTAATGAAATTTTTTTTTAAAAAACGATTTTATCCTTGATTGTAATACGATGATATCATTACAGTGATATTGAAATGTTTCAAACAAAACTTATTAATCATTCCTTCATGAACATATACACATCATATAATGAAGCCATTCTTTTTCCTGACTTCCATATCAGCACGTTTATTCAAATAATCGACATTCTTTCTTCGTCTTCAAGTTCTTCCATCTTAAAAGGCTTTTTTTTTCATATTCATAATGATTCAATCTGTCTAGAACACGTGCATTGTTAATAGAACAAGAATGATAAAGATATTCTCAATACACATTCAAAAGTAACTTTAAATTATATATAATTACGCATAAGAAAATTCCTCTCAAACTAAACAGAAGAAAAAAAATTTTCTTTTTTTTTTTTTTCTCGTTCTTTTGTGTTCTCAACAATAATGTGGATAGACGTATAGAATAGTCGAGAAGAAATGAATCAAAAAAACCCAGTAACAAAGAATGCAAATAAATAAATTGGTAATACAAACACATGCATCAGTCATTTTTGACGAAGATACCATCGACGAACACGTAAATTCTATTTTCTATTCACATTTATATCTGTACTTGTACCGAGTTTGTTTTCTTTCTGATAACTTTATCTTTTATATGTAAAAACGATATTATGTATTGAATAATTTTAGATTAAGATAAATTATTGTAGCTATGCATTACAAGAGAGATGGAACCTTGGATATGCGATACAGTTCATCAAAAGCAGCAACGTCATCTGGATTTGGTATGGGTTCTTTTGGATCTTCTGGAGGCTCAAATTATTCACCAATATCATCTGGATTCGGCATTGGTTCTTTTGGATCTTCTCGAAATACAGGATTTTCACCCATGTCTTATGGATCAACCGCTTCTTCTGGACTTCACCATAAGAAGGACGGTACTTTGGATATGCGATATAGTTCTTCGAGATCAGCTGCATTTTCGGCACAACCTATTCATGTCAGTCGACCAGTTACTTCTTTTGAAGCTCATCAAAAGAAAGATGGCACTTTAGACATGCGATACAACTCTTCAAAAATTGCTGCAGCTTCTACGCAGTCAAATTATATTAATCGGCCAACTTCTTCCTCGGAACTTCACTATAAGAAAGATGGTACCATGGATATGCGATATAACTCTTCAAAAACTGCAACCCCTTGCTCGACGTTGTCTACTTATGCTAATCGACCATCTAGTTCTTCTGGACTTCATCATAAGAAAGACGGTACTTTAGATATGCGGTATAGTTCATCAAAAAATGCCAATCAATCAGTCAGTTCGTCTGGACTTCATCATAAGAAAGATGGTACTTTGGATATGCGATATGCATCTTCTAAAAGTGCCATGAGTAGAAACGCATCTGGATATCAATATTCTAAACAAGGAATACCAAAACATATTCCAATGACAAAAAGCGGTATTCCAGATATGAGAACAACAGCTGCTAAAGATTGGGTTAGACAGCAAGCTCAAACTAGCATAGAAGAAATTCCTTCATGGATACCTAAAACTAAAGATGGTTCTTTGGATACTTCAAAAGCAATAACACAAGAATACTTAAAATGGAAAGGTACAATATTATCGAATTACGTTCCAGGTCAACGATTAGCTTATTATGATCAAAAATTAGAAGATATGCAATTTAGAAATCTTGTCGAAAATGCAAGAGAAGATGAGGTTGAAATGCCTCAGTATGAAATGTTACCGGAAACACCAGAAATGCAACGTCAATTGTGTCCTCAACCGACGAGATATTACAATACAAGACAAGATGATTATGATAATGATGACAGTTCTCAATATGATACCTTACGTGAATCATCAGAAGATCAACATCATTATCCTTCTCGAACGACAAGAAATTTGTCTAGACAAGATCAACGTCCATATTCTTCTCAAAAAATGATAAATTCATCTAGAGAAGATTATGAATATGATATTCGTAGTGAAGTTTCAGAATCAATTCCAGTGATTAATTATAGAGATTTAAATATTGATCCAGAGGATAAATTAGGTCAAGGATCATTTGGTATCGTATATAAAGGTGAATGGAATCATCAAATTGTTGCAATAAAACAATTACATTTAAATAGATTAACTAGACAAGAAAAAAATTCGTTTGTAAAAGAAATCAAAATTATGTCAACTTTAGGTGAACATACAAATTTAGTTCATTTATTTGGTTATACATTAGAACCACCTTGTTTAATTATGGAATATGTTGAATTAGGTTCATTAACTTATTTACTTCATTATTGTGAAGATCAACAAATAGAAGCAAAAATAACAGATGGAAGAATAAAGAAAAAACTTATTCTTGGAATTGTTCTTGGAATGAATCAATTACATGCTGTTAATATCGTTCATGGAGATTTAAAACCTCAAAATGTATTAATTTCAAATGATTATATAGCTAAAATAACTGATTTTGGATTTGCAACATTACGTGGAAAAAGTTCAAGTTCAGTTGCTTCTTCAGTTACATCGAATGATGATGATGGAGAAGTACGTGGTACAGCAGGTTATATGGCTCCCGAACTTTTAAATAGTTCAAATCCACCTGAATGTTCTATTGATGTTTATTCGTTTGGTATTGTGTTGAATGAAATTATTCAAGAAGAAGAACCATATGCAGATCAATTTCAAAACTTTCTAGGACGAGGACCATTTGCAGCTGTTAATTATGCTCGATTAGGTAATCGCCCACGAATAAATGCAACAACTCCATCGTTCTTTAAAAACTTTATTAAAAAATGTTGGGATACTGAACCTCGAAATCGACCAACATTTAAACAAATTTTCCATGACCTCAAACCTTCTCATATTAACTTACCGGACTCCTTTCAATTATAAACACTATTTTACATTTTTTTTTAATTAATAGTCTAGAATTCTATTGATTAACATACAAAAATATTCTTGAGGGCGTGGATGTTAGGATTCTATTCTTTCCACATCCACACCCACAATTTCTAGACAGCAGTTGTTTTCTGTTTGTTTATTACGTTATTCACCAAAGGATTTGACATTATTTGTTGAGGAGCAATCGTACGTGTTTTTCGTCGGTAAAAATATCGAAAAGACTTACGCATCCGCTTGCGAAGATGGGGTACTGTACCAAGACATGTAAATGGGAAAAGAAAGATAACATAATGAGCAAAGAAGTTTGAGTATTTGGTATAATCCACACCTACATAAGATGGAACACCAAGTTGTTTAGCGATACCCAAAAGTATAGGAGGTAAATATAGTACAAAGAAAATTGATGTAACAGATAAAAGTTGAATTGTCATTTTACGATATTTTCGCCATTGTATCTGACGTTGTAAACGACGCTTTTGAAAAACAATACGAATAACCAGAAAAATACTACCAAAGCCCATACATGAAGAAGATAGTACGCCACCCGACATAAACTCATAGAGAGAAAATGCCGCAGAATTATATATACAACTATAATAACTACATAAATTTGAATTGTAAATAAAGGGTCTGTTACAATCATTCATTGGAGTAGTAATACCATAGAGTATTACACCATATAGAATAATCAATATTAGTGGTGTATAATGTATGAGATAACGTCTCTTGTTTGTTGCAATCCATTGACTATGAAAAATAAGAATATGTCTTTCCACTGATGTCCATCCTACAAGTTTTGCTACTGAAGTATAAACAGTAGAATCAATAAATTTCCAAATCATACAGTATGCTGGTGATTTTATCCAAACAACACCATATAGATAAAAATGCATCACCCAAGGAACAGTTGTTAGTTCGCGAATAAGACACAAGAAGAGAGCAATAATGATAGCATGATTATGAAGACTGTGGCGAAGAGTTGAATTAGAAAGAAAATGAAAAAGAACAAAAATACAACAGGTAACTGATAGGGTATCTGAGACGAGAAAAAGCCAGAAACGAACAATATAAGGTATAATAACACCATCAGGAAGGGGGCCTGTAGTAGCGGTAGTTGAACTAGTGTTTAATGCTGGCATTTCTGTATATGTAGAATATTTTGTTCACTAAAAATAAAATAAAAGTAAAATGAAAATAATAATAACAATAATATCATTAATTAAAAAAAATAGCGATGAAAAAGAGTTGAAATTATGTTGTTTTTATTCGGGAAGAGAAATCTTCTAGATTCTCAAGAAAATGTTTATTATATCAAATTATTCTATTAGATCAAAACTATATGATAAGAATTTCATTAAAACTAATTATTTCAAAAAAATTGAAAGAAAACACTCAGAATTTAAGAGCATCTTTTAAAAAATCAAATTTTAATTTACACATGGTTTGAAACATATAAGTATCTAAATGAAAGAATTAAGAAAGATTATGAAGTTATAATCTTACGACATAATGAAAAATTTATCAAAATAAAAATTCCTAATGATAAAAACACGTGAAGGAAAAAATTAATTTATAATTTTTCATATCGAATTTTTGACTGAAACATAAGAAAAATTAATAGCGAATGGTTGGAAATTTGTTTTAAATAAAGAAAATAAATATATATCTTAAGGAAAAATTTCTTCTAACTCAACTGAAAAATGTGAACAATCATTGATAAACTATCTTTTGAAATTAAAAAGAAACAAAATTATAGAGAAATGAGACTTGTCATATGCACGAGAATGCCGGAAGCATTTTTTTAAAACTAAAGCACATTATTAACACCTGCAATGAATAGTAACAAATCTTTTGTTAAAGATTCATCTAATTTTGTTGATAAAATTAAACAACACTAGAACTAAAGTCTTTATTTGATGTATGCTCACTTTTTTGTAACATACTTTTAGTTGACACTATTATAAATGCTATTAAAAACATAAGAAAATATAATCAAAACTTAAAATTAAATGATGACGCACTTAGAGAATTATTTTATTATTGTAGTAAGTATTTCAACTTCACTTTTAATAAGGATCATTATAATCAGATTAATGGAGAAGACATTAGCACCAATTATTGCACACTTACTTACGCGTAATTTAGAAGAAAATATAAAAGCAAGAGATCTGAACTATATTGTAGATATGTGGGTGATATCTTTATGATTATTAGCGGAACACAAAAAGATATAATAAAATTATGTTTGTATTTAAATCATAAACATGAATTTGTTATTTATTGAGTTTCACTTACCGTGATAAGAAAAAGTTAAATAATAATATTATTCATGAATGCAATTGTCAAAATCTTATATAGGACAAACTTCTCAGAAACGTCGAATGAAAAAACATGTCCTTTTCAAAAGTGAATTATTACGTATTACCGACACATCTCTTATTTCCACTTTATAGAACTTTCATTCATACCATCACAAGTACTTTGCAATACTCAACGCAAAAAGCAATGTGTGAAAACAGTATGTATCTTCACTTAAATTTTATTGTGCAATAAAAAAACAGAATTCCATTCAGTAATGCCAAGATGAGAAATAGTTCTTACTTTTACGCTCAAATCCATATTCGAATAACACTATCGGTACCAGGATATCGTACGATCTTTGAACCATTGAATAAGTTCATCATTATTCTCCTCAACTCTTAAAGTCTTAAAATAGTTGTCATCTTTACATACCACATCTAATGAATAAAGATTTATGAGATTTTTGATAAGATAGATAAGACTTCGCAATGAATACCTAATGGTGCTTGAGTCAGTGTAACACAATCATCTTCATTGAAATAATGGCTCATCTTTATAGATAATGATACAACGTAGACTAAGAGCTAGATCGAATAGAGCTTGTAGTTGCTCTTGAAAACTACCAACATAAGATGAGACTGTTAAAGATTTCAGTCGATTCAAACTTGGAACAATGGATCAAAACCGATCATTGATAGGCATTTCTATATTAAGATATTCAATATTAAGTAAATGAGTATGGAATGGAATCATATTATCAAAACATGTCTGGTTATAAACGTGAGTTATCGTACTACAATATCATTGCAAGTATTCATGTGGGTATGTTGATTTGAAAAAATCGGGGTTGAAAGGTCTATAGTGATTATAATCGAATCTACTAGATGCTGTGTGCAAATGAATCGTTGTTCCCCTTGTAAAACATCGAACAAACCATTGATGTTGAATAGTCCAAAATGAAGTTTGATATGAATCAATTAATTCATTGACTTCTTGTTAAATAATTGCCTTCCATTCGTAACCATTGAGCAATGTAAATCCTGTATCGATATCCAAATAACGTAAACGACCGAAGTCTGTAAAGAAAACATCTATTTCCGAAAAGTTAAAAGATTCTCTGATTTTAACTTGTAATTTAGTCAGTGTTGGAAATGTATGTGATATATAGTTCTCATTGACATTGCAATCGGCTAACGTCGAAAGATGTTTAAGACAAGGTGTATATTTAAACAATCGAATTATTTGATTTGATCTTACTTCATTTTCCATGGGCATATATAAATATTGTATAGATTTTGAGATATTTTGTGGCATGCAGAAAGAAAGAAAATAATTCACGAATAATGAAAATACCAAAGGTACAATGAGTAAGTTTCGATAAAGTCCATATTATATTAACACTGAACTGAATATCACTCTGCTTGCCGTGAAATCCGCATGAGTAGAATTTCAAATGAGTAAGATTACAAAGATGATGACATTCATCAATAATTTTTGTTAATATTTCATATGAATGAATGGAATCAAACGAAAGTGATCGTAAGTGAATGAATTTCGCAAATAATGGTATATATTTGACAAACAAATGAATTTGTTCTAGAGTCTTTTCACCACTACTAAGCGCAAGAGTTATAGTTCGATCAGCAATGAACGTTAAGTGTTGTTGACAAATCATGTCGAAAGTACGTTTTGATAAATAGTTAAAATTAAAGCAATATGCTCGATATTGATTATGAAGAAGGAAATATACGTAGAAGATATCAAGTAAAATTTCTTTAGGTAATAATTTTAAATTCATCGTATGTTTATTCTTCTTACTTATTTTGCTAGTGTGCTATAAAAGAATGTTTGCTTTGAAGTAAGAAAACAATATAAATGCAGATTTCTATTTTTCTTTTTTCGTTTTAAAATGAGAGTCCGATGGTTTTTTTCTTCATCTACTGTAACTGAATGCATGAATCACTTGTACAAACAACACATGTCAGACTGAAAACAATCACAGTTATATTTTCACTGGTTATATGAAAGGAATAAAAAAAATAACTAATCTGAAGAAAAATCCTATTTCGGAATCTCTTCGTCCAACAATATTACATTTATACAATGACATATCAAATCTGATTACTTCTTTATATCTGTATTTACATTTTCGTCTTTACTCTTGAGATAGATTCACAAATTCTGTCGATGTCAATTGGTGAAAAACAAGAGTTCAAGAGTATACATTGAAAATATTTCATGTAAGTTAATCCATCTATATCATTTGCTTGTAACCTCTAGTTTTATGTTATTAACAAAGAGAAAATAGTACAAATGTGAGCGTCCACGGCGTATTTTCTGTTGTCGAGAAGGATAAAAAGAACGCAAAAGAACGATCGGAATTTATTCTGTGTCGTAC